AAAACTGATGTTGGACTCCAGGTGTCAGCCCCTTCCTGGGGCTTGATTTGTGTCTGGGAGGGGGACTTGCCAGCCCTCAGGACATTTGGCTCATCCCCAGCTTGCATTTGGCTCGTCCCCAGCCAGGGCCCTCCACCCCCCAGTGCAAGTGGGGCAGTTCTGTTTCGAGAGGTGCTCGCCTGCACTGGCCCGTCGCAGCCTGATGGGAGCTAACAGCTGCTCTTCTCCTCTCCCTTCATGCATTTCCTCAGGATGTTGCTCAGAGAAACAAATATGAAAAACTGCTGGCTCTGAAAAGGGTATCAGTGTGTGATCTGTCCTCCCAGGGAGGAGTGTGGGCACGGCTCAGCCAGTGGTTCAGACGGTGCAGGAGGGAGCTGCCACCTCACCCAGCTGTCCCTGCTGTGAGCACTCTGGGTGCTGGCCCCAGCTGTGACCCCTCTGACTGGTGGCAGCTGAGCAAAGCCCAGACAGCACTCAGGGATGGCAGTGGCCAGTCTGCCCATAGCTCGGAGCTGGGCAGGGCAGGGAGGGGATGGAGTGGGGAACAACCCCTCTCCTGTCAAACACCCACTGCTCTCTGCCTCAGCAGTGGGACAGGACCCAACTTTGACAGCAATAATATGAAACAGGTCCCTGTCCCTCTGCTCTCAGCTGAGCTTCATCCTTCTGTGCTCTGGGGGGAGGCAGACAGCCCCCATGCTGGAGGCTTCACTGACAGTCCATTCAACCTGGCTGTGCCTGTTGTGTGATGTTGGGATTTTCATCCTGCATGTGGCTTTGCACGTGGCTCCATCCCTGGGGCGAGGGCATCTCTGTCCAGCTGTCCCCCTTGCTGTATGTGCGTGCTGGGCAGTGGGAGGGCAGGGAGCAGCACCCTTGCTCCCTCTGATCCCCGGCTGGCCTGTGCAGGTGGCCAGTGTGAGGAAAACCACAGTCCTGGACGTGATGAGAAGATTGTTGCAGCCTAAAAACGTGATGGTGTCCACAGGGCGAGACAGGCAGACCAACCACTGCTACATCGCCATCCTCAACATCATCCAGGGGGAGGTGGATCCTACACAGGTGAGCTCCCATGGCCGTTAAGGTGCTGATGGCCATGGTGTGGCCCAGGGAAGGGCATGGTCACTGTCTGTGCAGCAGTCCTGGGGCAAGACTGGACAGTGCCTGAGAACTGGCTCCAGGTTTCTCCTGTATGAGCTCTGCCCTCTTGGAAAGGCCACAGTCCTGCTGAAATCCAGCTTTCCTGCTGAAATCCAGCCATGCCTCCTGTGAGGAGCAGCTCGTGGGTCTGCTGGGACCAGGCTTTTTGCCCTTAACCCTGCTTCCCCTTGGTGTTCTTATCCCACCAGGTTCACAAGAGTCTGCAGCGGATCCGGGAGAGGAAGTTGGCCAACTTCATCCCCTGGGGCCCTGCCAGCATCCAGGTGGCTTTGTCCCGCAAGTCCCCTTACCTGCCGTCCGCTCACCGCGTCAGTGGTCTCATGATGGCAAACCATACCAACATCTCCTCGGTGAGTGCCTTCTCCGCCCCACTGGGCCCCACACCCCTGGTGTCCCTTCAATCAGAGGCCATCACAAAGCCAGGGCAGGCCCTGCCAGGGCGTGGGGTGGATGGCTCCCAGCAGGGCTCAGGTCTGGTCCAGGGTTCCATCAGTCCCACTGGCCGCTGTGCCGTTCTCTTGGAAAGGGTCCCCAGGGAGCCCTGGCCCCTGTGACCCCGCGCTGCTCTCCAGCTGTTCGAGCGGACGTGCCGGCAGTACGACAAGCTGCGCAAGCGGGAGGCCTTCCTGGAGCAGTTCCGCAAGGAGGACATCTTCAAGGACAACTTCGATGAGCTGGACAACTCCCGGGAGATTGTGCAGCAGCTCATCGACGAGTATCACGCGGCCACGCGCCCCGACTACATCTCCTGGGGCACGCAGGAGCAGTGAGTGCCCTGCCAGGGGACGGGAGGGTCCCATGGCCACCCCCACACACGCCGGCAGGGCTCATCTCTGCCGTGCCCACGTTTATCACCCCTCAGCGCTGCCCGGTGCGGCGGAGCCCTCGCGCCGGCTGCACACATGGCTGCACTCCTCCGTGGAAGTTGCTCTGTGGGGAGCAGCATTGCCCCTGCAGCCCCTCGGCGGGGGACAGCCCCCGCCCTACCACGTGCCCTGGCCCAGGACAGGACTGGGGCAGCTGCGCGCTGTGCTGGGAGGGAACCTCCACCCGTGGGAGCAACGCTCACTGGGAGGAGGAGGAGAGCGACCCTGGGGCTGGGAACAGGCCTGGCCCCTAGAGTTGGGTGCATACGACACCCATGGCCAAAGGCTCCGTGTGGCTGAGCTAGTCCTTGCCCTGGGCAGGAGCCTTGTTCCTCCTTTGCCAGATCAGGCCTGGGGCACGGGCTGTATCTATATTTTTGTAGGTTATTTTGCTTTAATAAAGGCTGTTCCTGCACTAATGCTGCTTGCACAGCTCCTGAGCGAGCAGCTGAGCAGGGAAGCAGCTGCAGATACTGAGGCCAGTGCTCGCCTTGCCTGGCCAGATGGCCCTGCTGTGCAGCCACAGCCTGTGGGGACCCAGCTCTGCAGAAGCACCATGGCTGCTGCTCATTGGCAAGTCGCGGGGTGCACAGGGCCAGCCCTGCCCCAGCCAGCAGTGCTGAGGAGCCCGGGCGGCGCTGGGCGACCGCTGCAGCAGAGCCAGAAATACTGGCAGGACCTGCCAGCACGGCTGACCAGGGCTGGGACCGGCGCCGCCCTGCCTGTGGAGCACGTGGTGCCCGCACGGATGTTCCATGAGGGCGAGGCCCCGTGTAGGAGATCGTGAGGGGCTAGGGGTGCCCTCAGCACTCGGGATCTGAGGCAGGGGCCGGCACTCTTGGGAAGGGCACAGGCTTGGGGCCAGATGATGTCAGGGGACATGGACATGGCAGCTCTGGTCCTGTCCTGTGGGAGTTGGACTGCCAGCTGGGGATGTGGGGCAGTGATGGCGCTGGCCCAAGCCCAGACAGCCCAAGGTGAGAATTAGCATTTTCCTCTTACCCTGTGGGGCACAGAGCAGGAGGCTAAAAATATGGCCATCATAGCAGCACGGGCTCCCACGCCTTCTTTGGCAGCAGCCTCACAGCAGTGC